GTAACACCGTCTTAAACCCAAGGACAATCAAGAAGGATGAGCCTTTTGAACGAGGAGAGGCGCGAGAACAAAATCTTCATACACTTGGCGAATATCTCGACAAAACCCGCAATCAAGGTATGGAAAATTTGACTTACGTATTTAACGATGCTGACTTGGACCCGTTTGATATAGGTAAGCATGTTTTGAGGACAAAACCTTCTCAAGGGGGAGGGAATGATGAGGACATCGGAGCAGCCAACAGCTTGGAGGCGGATGAGGATGGGAGCTTAACGGAAGGAGCTCTCCGGGATGATGAAGACTCGGCCTCTCAGGTGCCGGGAGTAGTTCCGAATGATCAACACATTACACGATCATTCGAAGCCGCAAGAACGGAAAGTGACGTGCACCACGCGACGGCTCAACGAGCAAGCCATAGAGTCGAGCCTCCCCTCACTCGTTCTAGAGCTCGAGCCCTTCGTGTCACGCTAACCAAGGTTGTCACTCAAAGTTCTTCACGGATTCAGGGTTCACGACAACAAGGATGCATCATTATTCGGACGAGAAGTGATTCGGAACAATTTCAGCATTAAGTCCAAATTGTCTAAGGCCTAGGACACGACCTTAATCAATTTTCGGCCCAAGAAGAAGGCCCACGGTCCAACCCATCAGCAGCCCAAAGAAAGGAGCTTTCCCAACAACTCTTTTCTACCACCTACTCACCATTAATGCACGTGGGCTGCATGTTGTTTAGCATTTATGTCTTTGTTGACAATTGTTGTTATTTAAACTCCTTTCTTTTCATTTTGTGATCAGCTTTTCATCAATCAAAAATTGTAGAACCTTTGTTCTCTTTCTCCACTCAAAGTGTTGAGATTATCTTTGTGTCTTGGTGTGTCCGAGGCCTCTTCTCTTCGGTGTGTCCGAGAGACTCCTTCGGTGTGTCCGAGGAGATTGCGTCCGGTGTGTCCGACGCGCCCATATCCTTCGATTACCACCTCATCCCTTTTGAAACATTTCTGAATTCGAGCGCCACACTCGTGAGCCGGTGATTGGAATCGATTCGCCATCAATCCACTTCGGCTATCCCTTGTTCCTCCGTGAATTCGAGAGCCACTTCCGTGACCCGGTGATTGCAGTTGAACTCCCCTATCCATCCTCTTCCGTGCGTGTATCATTTTTGGTATCAGAGCCTTGCTCAATCCAAGAGGACGTGCCCCGGGTGAGATCTATCCTCGTTTACGTTTTCGTTTATTTCCGTTTGTTCTTTTTGTTTCAATTTGAAATTTCGAAAACAAAATATAATCTGCCCAGTTTCGTTCCTTGAAAAGAGCTGATCAATTCCACCATCCATTTCGTAGACTTTGCATCTCCATCAAGGCGCACAAATCAATCGAGAAACGAGAGAAATAGCACGCCGCTCATCCTCGGAGTTCTCTCGGGTGAGATCCTTCCTACTTCAGTTTTTCTGATTCTGCTTTGTTGTGTGTTGCCTCTGCTGTGTTATATCATTTTCCGTGAGTGTCCTTGCTTCCATCTAGGGCTGAGCATCCATCGAAACCGATTATCGTCTTCCGTTTTAAATCTGTTTGTAATTCGGTTCGAGTAGTCCCCTTAATTTGTTTTGTTGTGCTTAGTAATATGCTACGTGTCCCGTAATTATATACACCTCTGTTTCCATTCCGAAATCTAAACTGGTTTGAGGACATAGCTGATCGTGTTAGGCAACAAACGCATTGACTAAATCTGTTCAATTTGCACATTAATTTTGGTCAAATCCTGTTTTTTTATAATAAAAAAATATATATAATTCGAAAATAATAATAAACTAAGTTGCTGCTGTTGAGTGTTGCTGTTGTGCGTTGTTGGTGTTGTATTCATCGCTGCTATATTTTATCACCATCTGATTGATAGTGCTCTGTTTTCGGTTCAACTGAGCCTGTTGTGTGTATCCCGCGTGCTGATTGAATCTCCTGCAAATTGATCTGTTCTTGTGGATTCGAGTGACCGTTCGTCTTCCTTGTTGAATGCTCTGCATTTCTTCGAATTTTGATCTAGGATTGCACGTTAGACGAGCCTCATTGATTGCTGCGAAATCTGTTTTGAAAATCTGATTGAAGTTCTTTGAAAACCTGTTCGAGAAATGATTGGACGAGTTTTGATCAAGCTCTATTCGTGATTTGTTGAGTGTTATCTGCATCATTGTTGAGAAATCTGTGTAAGTCTCGCTCATCGTTAGCACGAGATTGCACCTTACTTGCTATTCATACGCTGCTATGTTTTCGGGTACAAATCTGTTTGTGATAACCTCAATCTGTAGCTCAACTTGCACATTAGGACATTTGTTGGATCATACCACGTTGCTTGCTGCCTTTGTTTTGCACGTTGATTGACATACTCGTTGAAATCTGCACATTCGTGAAATCTGTTTTAACGCATGTTTTGTGCAAGAATTGTTGATTGTTATCACTCTTCATTGTTTCGCTTCGATCGCACGTATCCGTGTTCGTTAGGTGTTAGGTCGAGTACCTGTGTGTTTGTCTTGCACGTTGGTTGCTGCGTGATTGTGTGTTGCGAGGTTTAGCGACATGAGTAACCACGAACAGTCCCGTGAGAGAGCGAATATAGAATCTAGTGAAAGCACTATGCTTCAAATGTTACAACAGATTCAAGATCGCCTCACACGACTTGAGCAAGAGACCCGACCCATAGAATCTGCGAGGGCCTCAAACAACCGCCCGTATCATGAACTAAGGGCTGGTCGGAAATCTAAGTCGTCCTTGTTTACGGGAGAAGAAAACCCAGAAGTTTACCTCGAGTGGGAGCGGCAAATGAATGACATCTTTGAGTGTTACTCCTGGTCGAACCAAAGAAAGATCCAATACGCAGCTGCCCATCTTGCGAAGAATGCTCTCATGTGGTGGGAACAAAAGGAGATCGAACACCGACGAGCACATTATGATCCGATTTCCACTTGGAAAGAGATAAAAATCCTCATGCGGAAAAGGTATGTACCCCGACATTGTCTTCGTGAATTACAATATAGATTTGATAACATCATGCAGGGAGACACAACGGTTGAGGACTACTACAAAGAATTTGAACAACTCGTTGCGTACTTAAGAATCGACGACGATGAAAAAAGTCTCATTGCGCACTTCCTAGGAGGCTTACAAAAACAAATCGCTAGAAAGGTAAACCCACACGTATACCGTGACTTGAGACATCTTGTGCATACGGCAATTCAAGTAGAGCGACAACTGAACAAGAAGCCGTCAAAGAATGGGTGCCAACGAACGCCAACGCCAATGCCTATACACGAAAACTTTTCCGATACCGGAGACCCAATCAAGGCGCAAAATCTTGATGCTCGAAAGGACGGAACTATCTTATATACAAGAGAAGTCCACACACGAGGTAACAAAACTTCTTCCTCATGTACTCATTTTACTTGTGAGGTTTTGTGTTCGGAGTGTAGGAACCAAAGTCATTTGCCCAATGGAAGTTCTACCCGACAACAGGTGAGCATCAAGGATAACGGGGCATATCACTCAA